CAAGAAAACATGGCAACAAACGCAGTTACCACATGATTGCCACTTGGACTCCTCTACTTGATTCATGTGCATTGCACACTTTGTCTACTTCTCTACATATAGTTTGTGTAGTTCTAAAATAGCATCTTATTGCCTATATCTTCTTTTTATATCCCAATTGCTTCATACTCTAGGAGACTATTTGACTGAAAGTGCTTGACCTCAAGTAAAATGATTTCTTCAGGTTCTGGAATGCATTCCAACCCGAGTATTACCAGTTCAGTGGTCAACTGAATTAGCATTTTGACACTATTTTGTCTGGTATATTTATATATTCAAGTGATTCGTGTTTAAACAAAAACATTATAAAAATGACTTGATTCTTACTGTAATTCCAACAGAATCTCATAAGCATGTTGAACTTGTTTCAGTGAATGTCAGTATGTTTTATTCAAATGAATCACTCACTTCCTTAAATTTTGAGAAAGGAGTTCTGAAATCTGTGGTAAACAGCAGCTTTACAAATCTGTAGCTTGTTGTTTATCATGTCCACAAAATGTAATTTTAGAAGCTGGATTTGATGGCCACAAACTGTCTTAAAATGGAAACAAAAATATTAAAAGCTATTCAGTTCATGTTTACATCTGACCTCAAATTTTGTGTGTGAATGCTTTACATACATATATGTGTATATATATAAATAAAATAAATGAATAGAGAGAGACGTGTATGTGTGCACACAATTTGAAACCAAATATATATACAACTGCTATATAGGTATGTCATTTGTTTTAAAATATTACTTTTGAAATATTGATCATATACAACATATAACATATAACAGACCTTGATATTTAAAAACAGAGTTTTTATATTCACAAAAAAATACAGTATGAAGCAGCAGGGTAGTGAATCATATAATTTTTCCTACTTATAAAAATATAAATCTTTAATATAGTTACATTAATTATGGGATTAAAATGCATCAATGGTGTGAAAGAAAATATGCTGCATTTCTCAACATTCTTCTAATTCATTACATAGTTATTAACCTAATTGTTTATAATGTCCATTCACAGAGCATCAAATAACCAGATAAATAAAAGATTGAGAAGAGAACCTAAAGCATTCATTTCATGAGTAAAACATCACTGACAAACAGCAGTATTCAGTGTATCTAAATTTTCAGTTTCCTAGAGTTTCTTAATTTATAAAAGGCTGGGATGAGATACTGTAAAATATTGGAAGTGCCACTGAGTCATCAAACCAAGAGTATATTACATTGATGATATCTATCATGATGTCATTTTATTGCATTATAATTATTTCAAGAAAAGAATTAATACTTACACATATACCCCTGTGGCAGAAAATTATGTAGTTCTCTAGAACTTCACTTTATCTACTCTGGATGTCTCCATGACCATGTAACTTGTATACATGATTGTCTTTTAACCATCTTCTCTAGAGCAATGTACAAATAGAGCTGTTCTACAGTAGGGCCAGGTCCACTGGAAGGCCTTTACGGAGAAAGAATTGCTTCTTTTAATCCTTTTCCCCCGATTTACATCTGTAATTCTCATAGCTGATTGAACCTAACTTTTAAAGACCTTGCTGCTTGTTTTTGTTTTGTGGTTTCAATTAATTTTGCTAATCACCTCTTTGAATATTTATTCTTTCGCAATTTTGGATATTAATTGCATGTATTTTTCCCTAGTGCACATTTCCCCAAACAGAAATTATCTGTGTTTACCATATAACAATAAATATAATAAACTCTTTTACATAATTTCACATAATAAAGCTTATGATTTTCACATGGTTTTACGTTTACCCAGTGCTTTCACTTAATCATCTCACAAGCCTCTGTAACAGGATACTCATTAGCTCCATTTTAATTATAAATATATAACCGTTCAGAGAATTAGAACTGCATCCAGGATGCAGCTAAAAATGTTCTGGAGCTGAGCTTCTGACCCAGATTTTATAACCCCAGAGCTGCAGTAATGCTTCATTCTCCACACTGGTACTCAAAAGGTCAAAGCCTGGTGACATTCTGCAATACATATTTCTATGTTAACAATAAGATTGCAGCTGCCTAATAAAATTAACATGCAGCAATTATAGAGTTAGTTCAGTGGAATGCTCTTCTCTTAGCCACCAAAATACTTCTAAAATAAATTAAAGCAAATAAAATATTTTTCCCTCATTATCATATTTTCAATTTTTATGTCACCACAGTTACTTGACAAATGACAAAAACATACTGATATAAATCAGATAATGTTACACTCTTTTTTTTTTAAAGAGTGCTTCAGATATACTTCTTGGAACGTCATCCAATCTTACATACACACACACACCTCTTTTCCAGCCAAATTCTGGACAGGTAGACATTAACATAATTATGAAAAGGTGTCAGAAAGTAAAACACACTCTTTGCCTTGTTTTTGCTTGAAAAATTATCTAGTATGTATCCTTTGTGATACCTGTCAAACCAGGGCTTTAAATACCTTTCATTTTTCTCAATGGCTTATCCCACTCCTCTGAAACAACTTCAATCACATTCAACATTCAAATGTTATTCCTCCTTTCTTCTTTATTTTTGTAATTTTTGTATAGTCAGCTAGCAAGTTTGTATTAGCTTTCCTTGTCAAATTTTTATATACTGTCATATATATATATACATAAGACATTATTATTTTAAAAATAGCTGACTGCATATTTAATTTCTCATATACTACCAGAAAATAAAATGTTTCATAGATTAATTGCCACACTCATATATATTCCACCTGCCTCTGGCCATCCATGACTAGAAAGAGTTAAAAGAGTTGGCTGAAGTGTTAACCAACCTTAATTAGATATACTGTAAGTAAATCTTCAAATATTTAACAAACAATTTTGATAACTAAAATAGTGTTCAAGCAAATAGATGTCAAAATAAAATTTAAAAATTAAAGATAATATTTGCAGCCAGTGCTTACAATTTTTAAAATACATTGTTTTCCATCTTGCAAAATATTTAATTTGATTCAAACTTCTTTAGATTGTATATTTATATATAATTCTAACAATCCATTCTTTAGATGGGCAGGTCACATCACAAATATTATTATTGCACAACTACACCATTTGCATGAGAATAAAAGCCCATGTCTACTCTTCATCTGAATAATAAGTAAATTTGTGCAGAAGACAAGATAATTTAAAACATTCTCAGAGATCATGTTGAAAAGGCAGCTTTTATCACTTAAATACTACCACTTTCTGGATGTGTCCTACAGTCTTCTAACCTCAACTCCACTTAGGCTCAATGGAGCTTCATGACAGAGGAATGGTTTATCGAGCACACCTAGAAATTACTTTTAAAATAATTACTCATTGCCTCCGCATGCCTTACTTTTCCTCCATGTTTCTTTCTGGATTTGGGTCTCCAGCTGACCTTAAGATAGTGCTTTAACAAGAAGACTGATCTGTATCACAAGATTGATGACTTAGCCTTGATCTGTGAAAGTCTTTTTTAATAAGATTTGTTTTTCCTATTTTTATGTCAAATTAAAATGATGTTAGAATAAATTTCAGAAGATGTGGTTGAGTATATTTCCTTGATATGGACAATAATAAGTAAAAGGCAAATAGTTTTAAGAAACAAAAGTGTTATATTCTTAGAATTCTATGAACTACATTGAATGTAGTATCTGAAAGAAAGGAAACCTAAATTATTTAAAATGGCATTATTTTAAATCTTGTGTTTCTTTTAATGCTCCTGTATAGACAAGCAGAAAATAGTTAAATGTATTGATTTCCTGAACTATTGTCTGCATTTGAAATCACAAAGCCACTGCTTCCCATAAAAGGTGGGTTTTCTCCCTATATTCCCAAGAATTTGATAACAAGAAATCATTATCACATATATTCATATTTAGAAGTAGGGTCACTTCTAGTATATGTACAATTATGTGGTTTCTTTTTATAAAGCAATTTAAGCAGTGGAGTGCTGTTAAATATTTAAAAATGACTATCCAGAAAAAAAGATAGTGTTTGCCTTTTCCCATATTAGTCTTCATATTTTCACCATGACTGAAGTCAATCAACCAAAATGTTGTCACTGTAAGTGGGGTTGGATAGAGATTGTGCACACTTGATTCCAGGGAGCTGGTTCTGACTGGTTCCAACAAAATACTGAATTGAAGCTACTACATAATACATACTTGCGTAATGATATCTGGAGACTCTTGTAACTGGCTTTAAGATTGCTTTATCCATCATCTCTTTAAAAGAAAAACCTCTCTCTCTATTATTGTGCCAGAAAAACATATATAGCATTAGACTGCATAAGACAAATACTAAAATTAAAAAAATAAATTCAACATTACAATTATCCTTAAAGTATTTCATATATATTCTGTCTGGATTAAAGACATTCTTCTAGCCATCTCAATAAATTTTAAAAAATAATCTTAGTAATGTATTGGTAGAATATTTTGCACATGAATAGCAATTGGGTATATATAAGAATTTCACATCATTATTTACAGCTTAGCCTTTCTTTTTCCAATGTATTACTGGTAAATATGAAAACAACTTCACAAGAGAAAATACACATATCATAAAGGGAGAGAAAGCAAGGTGAGCAAAGTGATGTTCCTTTTCTAAAATACATACAAACCTTCATTTAATGGTACATGTAACAATCAGCTGTTTTGACAGCATAATCCACATGTGCTAAACTATTTTATCTTCTTTCAGACAAGAAGGAGATTATTACAAATCTGTTTTCTCAGCACCTTACTGATTTATTTATATAATTCTGGCACCACACTCTGACTTTATTGAACTGGGTAAGTATACTATGTTTTGAATCAAAAAACTTGCATGCATGTATGAATGAAAGTCATAAACAGTATCTTTTACTCTGTTATAAAATTGTCATTTCACACATATATGTATTAATCCAGTATGTAGCATCAACTGTCTTCATGAAGAAACAATGCCTCTAAATCAAATTAAAGGACTGGTTGCAGATAGTCAAATTTATTGATTTATTTATTTTTATGAAGCTGAAGGCCACTTTCACATATTTCATTTCTAAAGGTGGGCTGTAAGTTTACAGAATCCTACATAGTTTCTCTTCATGTGATCAACATACGGATATCCTGGTTCCAGAGTCTGCCATTCAGAAGTAGCACTTTAGAACATAATTTCCCATACAGTGTTCACTATTTGTAGATTTATTAGGAGCCCAAGGATGAAATATATTTTTAAAGGACAAAGGAAGGAAAAAATCCAATCTTACTTGAATATATGCACACCAAACTAGTATTAATATAGGGAAAAATAGGTAGAAATATTATTTTGGTCATAAAAGTCTTCTTATTCTAAGAAGCTCATCTCAGACAAATACATGTGGTTCCTTGTGACTGCCCTCTTCAGTCTGGCACATCTAAACCTATGGAACTTAGATACCACTTGGTTAATTCTTGAGTGATTCATTCGCGTTGAAATTCAAAGACAAGTTTTGAAATTTATAACATTATGTTGTTTAAGATATAAAAGAAAAAATCTTTTATTCAATTTGTTTACAGCAAAAGAGGTTGGATAACAGATTCTTGCAAGTCTTTGGAGCATATAGAACTCACGACCTTGAAAAATAAATCTTGCATCAAAGAAAATCTCAATTCTCTCTGAAGTCTTTCTAAAATACAAATATTTTATCTAATGTTTTGTACATTTTAATGGCTCAGAAGAACAATTTCTATGTCTGTGTAGCTGTGCTCCTCTTTGAGATGTGAACTGCAACAGGACTCAATTGCTTTACTATTATTTCTCCATTTCCATGCCTCATTTCCTTCATGTAGCTCAGGCTGGAGAAAAATCAGCATGTTCTGATGAGTTTAGTACTATGAGGCAGTAAGATGGACCTGAATTTGCGGAGATTGGAGCTCCAAAATAAATATAACACCATGTGTCAAAAGAAGAAAAGATATTCTCCTGTACAAATCAGAAGATATAATAAAAATTGACGAATAGACAGCAACTTTTTTTTTTTTTATCATACCTACACAAGCATCTTCAAAACTATTGTAAACTTTAAGGATTATTTTCCCGTTTTTTATTTGGAACAGTTTATAACGTATTGACTAAACAATGGTTTGTATTGCCTTTCACCAAATTTTACTGGCTTTTATTGGGAGGCCTGCATTTGGGGAGGAAATTCAGAGAATTTATATATTTCTAAATAAAATATTTTTTGCTAGCCAACAGCAATAAAATTCTGCTGGGTTCTATAATATAGCAAGCTGTAAGCATCGCTGTAAATTAAATGTGTCCCAATTTTCGATACACAAGAAGTTCCAAGATTTCTCAAGGGCACTCGCAGCTCCGTTCTTCGGACAGGACCGGGAAGGTATGCACAGGGCTCACCGACAACACAGGGCACTACTGACTCTTAGAGGTTAGGTGCCTTTGCAGGTATCTGAGAGTTGCTATCTATTCCCACTCCACTGAGCATGTCCTCGTATCAAAGCCAACACAAAAGCCAAAGCCCGCCAGTGCTCAGAGTCCGTGGTCAGTGCGGTCCCTCGGAAGGCAAGCTTCCCCCAGGCGGAAACCTAACGTTGAAAACGGAGGCCTATTTACACCGCTTCCTTCCCCAGCGAGCGGCCCGGGCGCCGAGGCTAGGAGCACGCGCCGTCCTGGCCCGGGCCGTACATGTCGGCCAGCCGCTGGAAGCGCGGGCCCCAGTCACTGAGGTAGTCGTAGTTCTGCTCCGAGTTGGAGCTGACCGAGTCCAGGCTGCTGAGCGACTCGGCCACCGAGCCGTTGCCCTCGAAGGCGTAGGTCTGCAGGGAGTCGTAGGGCGGCGCGCCGGGGTCCACGTCCGCCTCCTTCAGCCGCTCCCAGATGAACTCCCGGAAGATGACGTTGTCCGGGACGCCCTTGAAGGCCGGCCGGCCCAGGAGCTGCATCTCGGGGGTCACGTCCCTGCGCGCCTTGCTGTCCCGCAGCACGTTGAGGTTGCGCAGCGCCGCCATGTCGAAGGCCTCAGTGTCCTCCTCGCCGCCGCCCTCGTCGTCGTAGCGGACGATGTTCTCCCTGATGTCCCTCTCCTCGTCGAAGATGAGCGGCTCTTTTTTCCGCCTTCTCATGGTGACGATGAGGAGGATGAGCACTGCAAGAGCGAGACGCACAGGACAGTCAGGACCGCGCCCCCGGCTGACCCCGGCACTCCCTTCCTTGGGGCACCTGAATTCCCAGCGACAAACCTGCTAAAAAATGGCTGGAATGGCTTTAAAGGGGACCGCTCGTACACATCAAGAAACCTGTTTGCACACCTGCTCAGGACTGATGTCTCCCTCTAACCGCCCAAGTGTCTGACAGAACAAATTGGAGGGCCGGTTCAGAATAAATATCATTTCAAAGCCCTGAAACACAAAGGGATTTTTTTTTTCTTTGAACACCTTAATTGCCGGAAAGGCAGAGTGACATTTCTAAGTGTTTTGTGTCTAATTTAACAAGCACAATTTCAGAAGGAAATGGATTACAGCAATTGGTCAGGTTCTTTGAAGAAATGCCTGGGCCCTGTCTACGAAACCCAACTGTTAAATAAAATCCAGGCCATATATCAACAATAAATGATGCAGTATAATATACTGAGCCCCACTGTCGGGCATGAAAACTGAACTTGGGCTTTATGTCTACCTAGAGGCAGAATACAGGTTGTGAGACATTCAGCTTCAGCCACGGGTACATTTAAGAAATAAGTCAACCCTTTAACAGTAGGATTTATTCTTCCTAGATCAAAACAAACAGTCAAATCAAGAAACTTGTAGCTGCATTGGGAAGCAAAGGAGAACAACCATGGCAGTTCCTTTGACTGAAACACACTGAATACCCTCTGTATTTATTAGTAGTTCCACAGGAATATGGAGACTGCTTTGGCCTTAAGCAACTCAGTGCTCCCTGAACTGGAAAGACGTTAGATTTCATGAACCTTTGCATTGAGTACGAGTGAAGTAGAAAAGGCACTCTAGATAGAATTCAACACTATACGAGTTATCTGCAGTTATCTATCTGTAAATAAAATGCCTTTTAACAATTTTTACTGCATGAACGTAAGTGTTTTTCCTATAAGGTCTAAAAGGATCAAAATATACACTAAGTGGATTGTTGCTTTGGCATTTAGAATATATTAGAAAATAAAAATACGAAACCCAAATGGACCTCACTGAAGCACAGTGAGCTTGTATGAAGTAAGCAGGAAAGAAGTGCACTCAAGCCTCTACTTCTGTCTACTTTCAAAAACCAAAAAGCTAAACACTGACATTTAAATACAATGAATTTATTATACTCAGTGAAAAGTATGTGCCTTCTTAAGCATTTCTCTTTTATCTGCTTTCCCAACATCAACAGGAACGGGACTGATGTAGACACTTTTAAGGGAGCTCTTTGGAAATAGTGACGAAAGCATATGTATGTATGATGTACGTATGTTCTGACACTTTCCTTTCTATTCCTATTTGACCCTATTATTCATCCTGTAAGCTTTGCATTTTATGAAAAGCTTGCCATTTAGACATTCATTTGTATTTCTGGAGCTTTTCTGACCCCTTTCTCATATTGCTGTGGCGCTTGTGAACCTCCTCCTTTTCTGTTCTTGCATGTGAATGCTCTCAGCTGACTGTACCCTACTAGCAGGTGTTGCTGCACGTCTTCCTGTTCTAAGTAGTCTGATACTCACCTTCCTCCCCTGCTAAGACTACTGTCCCTTTTTGTCTTCTGGACTTCAACATTTCCACCAGTCCAAAGCCTGTGGTTCCCAAGATCCACACTCGAATGTTACCACAGCAGGGGCTTGGGCTTTGCTGTAAAGCAGGCCTTGGATAGAAGTCCACCTTTACCTCACATTGGCTGTGTGCTCCTGGGGCAAGTTAGTTCAGCTAACTTATCCTAGCTATACCTGATGGTAGCCAATGTCAGTGTTCACAGGGTTGATTATAAAGATAGACATGAGAATTACGTAAGCAGTTAGCTGAATTCCAGGGGCTTTTATTTTGTGCAGCAAAGCAGTGTTCATGGTTCCTCTCCTGCCTGTCAAGAACATTAATTGTAAATTATATGATCACAGCACAGGAAAATATATTCTTATTTAGCCAAAGAAAAATAGGATTAGGTAATAAGCAAAGTAGGAGGTATACTACATATATGGGTAAGCATGTGCATTAAAAATTAAATGAGACCCAGATATGGTGTGAAGGTGTGAAATGAAGTTCTGCACATGAGATTTAAGATTTGAGCTTCACAGCATTTCTCTGGAATAGGTTCTTTCCAATTTGACAGTTATCTTAGGCACATCCAAGAACATTATCTGTCTGTGGTCAATGCAATTAAATGCAATGACAAAGAGGTATACCCCACTTGTCTCTCTTGTGTGAGCTTACAACTTTCATAGACGATAACTGAGAAACAAAGCCTATAATAAGAAGTGCTTGGAGAAACTACTTGCTCAAGGAAAGACATATCAGTAGTTTTAAGACACATTGGTGAATAAAATGATTATTTTAAATGTACATACAAATTTATTTTCTGAAACATTTCACACAGTGCCATAAAAGTAAAAGAAATTACAGCAGAAAGTGGGACCCAGAAAACCTAAAAAATCAGAGTAAAGCAGAGAGCAGAAGGGTGAGTATGAAAGAGAGTGGTGATTGGATGGAGTGGTTGAGGAAGGTAACAGAAAATGTTGCACATATTGGTCAGCATTTTAAGGGGGAAATAACCAATTGAAAGACAAAGATGTGGGTCTGGCACTGTGGTGTAAAAGGCTAGGCTGAGCTCCAGTATCCCATATGGGCACTGGTTTGTGTCCAGGCTGCTCCACTTTCCAATCCAGCTCTCTGCTATGGCCTGGGAAAGCAATAGAGGATGGCCCAAGTGTTTGGCCCCTGAACCCACACGGGAGATCCAGAAGATCTTGGTTCCTGGCTTCATATCAGTCCAGCTCTGGCCATTGTAGTCATTTGGGGAGTGAACCAGCAGATGGAAGACCTTTTTCTCTGTCTCTCCCTCTCTCTGCCTGTAGCTCTACCTCTCAAATAAACAAACAAATAATAAAAAAGAAAGACAAAGATGTACGAAATGGATGAGCTCAAGAGGAAGGGAATGAAAGTGTGAGAGTAACTAGATGTCCATGTACTCAAAGTCAACATCGAAGTAGGCATCACACTTCAAAATTCTCAACTGTTTTTTTTCATATCATGAATCTTAGGTATATACGTAAATTATTTTTATTGCATTGTAAATATACTTCATACTTTGACAAACTTGCCTTTTGACTTACAAGTCTTCAATAAAAAAGAAAACTAAGAGTACTGATGGATGCATTATCTACTGGTGTAATACACACAGAGGGCATTAATATATCATGCAGTTTTCCTCATTCCTCAATTTTGCTTGAAAAAAATGGGAAGTGTTTTTGCTTCCCAAAAAATGGGAAGTGTTTTCTACAGTTAGATAATTTAACATATCAATGACTTAAGGAATATTAATTTCAAACTTTTACATGACCACATATAAGATACAGTTTAAACTTTACAGAAAAAGTACTAACTGCTTTTCAGGGACTATGCAAATAATTCCTGTATGAACATGAATATTTTCTGCCTAAGTAATCACAATTTTATACGTTTTATGAAATCTTATCATTTGTCTTCTCTGTCATATGAACAAACATCCTTCTCAGTGGAGATGAAAGAAAATATTTTAATTAAAGTACATTCATGTGACAATATTGTGCTGGTTGTTCATGAATTTATATATTTATTTAATAAACATATGTTAGCCACTTATTATATGTACTAAATATGATGACACAGTGCTGCACAGAGTGAAATGTACACATTTTCTCCTGGAACTTGTAATTCACTGAAAAAGATATCAACCAAAAAAATTGAAAACAGAGTTTTGGTTATTTAAACAGAGGGAATTAAGATGAAGATTTAATGAGGGTAACTAGTGGCTCAGGGATAGGCAAGAACAATCTTGGTACTCAGTGGGCAGAGGTTTGAGGCCAACAAGGATGGAGGCAAAGAAAGAAGTAGGAGGATAAAATTGAAGATATAAGCATGGGCCAAAGTATACAAACTCAAGGACAAATGTGGTCTAAGGACTGCATGATATAATCATTCCAGGGGCGTGTGTTTGCTGAAGTGGTTGAAGTTCCACTTGGAGACTCTACATCCCATATTGGATTGCCTGGTTTGAGTAGTCAGTTTGCTGCTACCCATGTGGGAAACTAGGATTGACTTCTGGTCTCCCGGCTTCAGCGTCTCTCAGCCCTGGCTGATGTGAACATTTGATTGAACCAGATATGAAAGATCTCTCCCTTTTAAATAAAATAAAAATTAAAAAAGCAATCAATCACTCACTCGTGATGAAAGAGAGGAAGAGAGGAAGTACATCTAGAAGAAATTACAATGTTATCACTGCAGTAGAAGTATAATGCTTACCTAAAGTTCTGGTGTCTTAAAATTCAGTTTCATAGCATTCAATTTAAATTTTCCGAGTATCTGAGTATAGGAAACAGTGGTGGATGTTGGAAAAGTTGTATCAAGAGAGATCCTACATGTAAACTGCTCAAATGTTGGAGGATATATAGATGCAGATTAGTGTAAGTTGTGATAAATTCAACTTAGGTACAGATGAGCATAGGTGAAAATAAACATGTCACCCAGAACAGCATTATTCTTCCAAAACTGAGAGAAATAAAATGAAGCTGGAGAGAAATTATGTAAGTGTATGACACACAACAGTTTGTAAATTAGTGGACCCCTTTATTCTCAGCTTTACTGTGGTTTGTGGCAAACACATATCCAGACATTTAAATTGGAACAGGATTTTTACCAGAACACCTGAAAAGTGTTTCAGTCCTACAACAGTCAGCAGCCTCATCCTGGAGAGTAGCAATCACATATTTGTATCTACAATTGGGAAGCCCTGCTTGCCAATGAGTTTCTTCTATCACCACGTGCCAGGTATTCTTAAAGATGGCAGGCACCTTAGAAGTCATGAAGATGTAATCTACAGGCAATTGTAGCATGGTGCTCCACTATTCTGGAGTTCAGTACCTCAATGTCATCCTGAGTTCTCTGCTCTGGATTTTCTATGCTTGGT